AGGTCAAAATATGAAATTTACGAGAATAAGCTATAATTAATATATACGTAATCCCGTATGAAGATATATAAATTCACATGACGTGTATATTGATCCACTAGACATATAGACAAATATTACTCAACCCCTGCAAGAATTATTAGCTAATGTTATGAAAATAATTATCAGAGTTTAATAAAATCTTCATCTTCAGAACCATCTCCTCCCTCTTTTCCAGCAGGAGGATCAGAAATAGAAAACTTGTCCAACCCAGCAGGCTCAATTCTTGTACCCACAGGTCCAATCTCAGATACAGTTTCATCCTCAGACTCACTCCCACTCATATTAGTAATCAAATGACCCATTTCAGATCCGTCAACCTTCTGGAATCTAAACTGTACGTCTGGTACACGAGAGAGATAAGCTCTAAGCTTGTAGAACATGCGATCGCCCTTGGTAGAGCGCTTATAGAAGCAGAGTGTGATTAGGATAGCAAGGAATATCCCTAACAAACAAACAATCAGGACTACAATAAACACGACAGCAGTCTTACCAGCGCTATTTATAGATTCTCCAGGAGGCGCATCAGTAGGTTCGTATGAAAGACAAACTGATGAAGGCGCTAACACATTGAATACATAGAGACAGCCTGTAGGAGAAGTGAATTCGAATTCAATACTCACTGCGGTATAGTGGGAAGAACAAGATATATAGAATACTGTAAGGATGTGTTTATTTGTAAATGGACATGACTTGTTAACAGAACTAATGATTAATTCTATATAAGAATTATTAACAGCATTTATTCTCTGTTTTTTATAAGAACTGAGAGCAATTGGATCGGATTTTTTACTACCTTGAGTCCTTATGAGACACACTGTACCTTCTTTGCAACCTTCCACACTTGTATGTGAACAGAAATTTACGTAGAAATCAAGAGTTTCTCCATTCAAATCACTACTTATGTGATAATCCTTATTTTTATTCAGCTTCACAAGTACATTATGACATGTTCCTGGTGTCTCTGTGGTTATAAGTTCATTATGTTCATTGATAGGAGAAGATTCTCCGACTAGAGAAGTACTGAATACAATACTAATCACACATGAGCTAGTTGTACGATGGAGACCCTGGAATACAGGAGTTTCTATCATAGCAGAGCCTGGATAGAAGAGTATTTGAATTGACTTTGTTTTAGATTTATCAAGAATACATTTAGTTTGGCTACGAGCTGTTTCTATAGGATATTTTCCATCTATACTGAGTTTAAGAACAGCTGTGTCCAGAGCTCCTACTTCTTGCAAAGTTTCTTTCGATAGAAGACAAGCAAGAGAGTCAGAGGAACAAGATTCACTCTTCAGATTTGTGTTAATCAAGAAAGAACTCATACCAGCGCAAGGATTAAAGTATAACTTATCACCTTTCACGTCAACCTCCCAAGCACCAAATTTCCTATTCAAATCTGTAATATCAACTATACGGTTGTCAACTGTCAGTTTACACTCAGTGACAGTAGAAGCACAAGCTAATGGAGTATGCCATAAAAAATAGTGTATACAACCGTCTATTGGCAAATGCTCTACATACTTGTGATCTATTGCACTCTTGTTACAAATAAATTCTATGTTAGACTTGTACTTGCTGTTACCACAAGGACTACCATCCTTGTACTCAAGTGTAGGGACATGATTCACTAACTTGAGACTAGAATCAGTATATTTACCATAGCTAATAGAATTGTCATAACATACCGCTCCTCCACACCTTTTTATAGTTTGACAAGCAATAATCTGTAATAATGGTTCAATAGTGACATTAATTATCCCTACATCAAAAATAGGTTTAAGATCATATACATCTCCTGTTACTGTGTCTTCTATCTCACATTTACCAATAATAGTACCTCCAGCATCTTCACAAGCCACGTGTGTATCCCAGATGAACATATAGTGACACCCCTATAACAAGAAGAAGATATAATAAACGTATTTAATAAATAGTGTTAGCATAAACTTACATTCACTGATTGAGTGATATAATCTTCTAAATCAGCTCCTTTCTGGCAATTAAACTGAATAGTAGAACTGTATGTCCCATCTCCACACTCATCTCCATTCTTATACTCAATCTGAAGGGCTCCTTCACTAACATACTGAGGCCCATTAGTAACCTGACCTAAATTAACTGCATGATTACCACTAATCATGCAAATAGCAGCTGTACTGTCACAAGTTTGTGTTTCTTCTGGCAATAGATTGTGACACACGTTAATAAGAAATTTTTTATCAGACAAACTAACTCTCCAATTGCTATCATATGCTTTCAGCCAATTCAGATCGTAATCATATCCGTTATGTGTAACACTGCATTCAACTTGATACTGACATAACAGAGGACTCTGCCATAGAACCTGATACACACACTCATTAGAAGGCTCTACGAATGATTGGCTTTCACTATCACCACATTGTAACGTAAGCTCTACAGAGCTCTTGAATGGAGAAGATTGGTCCAAACAGTTAAATCCATTATAATAAGAAACTACTATTTCATCTCCGTAGAACCATTTAGAAGTATTAGAGGTAGCAATAGGATAGTGATCGCTACCCTTTGAGTAACACACTGCAGTATTGTTATTACTATAGCAATCTCCTAAGCTAGGATCTGTTAGAGCACCACAAAGAGAAATAGCTAACTTATCTCCTACGTCATTAGATTGAGACTGAATACTAACTGCTTTGAAGCTGTCTAAGTCTATAGTAAATCCAGTGCTGTATTGCACAACTTGACAGCTGTCAGATGCCTCGCTCTGACAAGCTGCTAGCGTTAGCCATGAGAATATATTCGTAGAAAAGTCAGCACTATGATAAACAAGAATTGGATCTGTAACCGATTGTGACTCTTCAGAACACTCTAATCCCACGGTAGTGTTATATTTCGCATCCTCAGTTGAGTAGGAGAGTAGGAGAAGATTATCCCGTAGTAGGTAAGGGGAGTGTGTCATTGTACCGAGATTAGTAGCTTTCCATATCTACAATACAAACTAGTAACCATCATTCTATTAACGATACAGTCTACTTAGTAAATACTCACATTATTGCTGTTCTTATGTAACACACAGAAGCTAGAACCAGTAACACAGTGTACACCCTTATTACCATATTGAGAAGGTAGAAGGTTACAAACACTAAAGTAGTACACAATACTATCTGTAGAGTATACTTCAAAATAAGCTTTGTGTTGTAAGCTAGACAGATCGTAAGTGTTTCCGTTATCAGGATTGTTAGCATTGCATTTGAACGTAGGTTGGCTAGGAGGACAAGCTAGATTAGTATATAGCATAATTTCATAGAGACAATGTGTCAATTCAGGTAGTACTACAGCTCGAGGAGAAGTTGCTGTCTTGTCACAATAGAAACGTATTATTGTTGTTCTGTTAACATTGTTACTATGACATGCTTGACCCCCAGAATATACCAGCTGAACTTCTCCATCACTCAGTATAAGTGTAGAGCTATATAATCCTACATAATAACACAAATATAATTCTATATCTGTCATGGTAATAAGGTTATCTTACCTGTAACATGCTGGGTGTTATCAGAATATTGACAAGCTCCTGCATGAGCACTACCATCTCCACATGATGATGTTATAGGACGACAAATAGAGATAGTGAAGCTGTAATCATCTGAGGTAACTGTAGAGTCAGGTTGTATGTGTATATCTGGTAATTTACTCAAACTTGTAAAGTTATATACAAATCCTAGAAGAATATGTAAGATAAGAGGATGTTGTAAAATCTTGTAATAACATATCTAAAGATAACAGGTTTCAAGCCAGTATAGTAGTAATGAATAACTCAATTACCTTGACAGGTTAATGGAAAATATTTATAAGTTCAGAGTATGTATATAGAATCCGAAAAAGTATTTAGATCATCACCTCACAACATTCTATAATATTTGTATAATACCTGAATCTGTATCTGTCACAGCACAGTTAGATTCCTCACTGGGTAATACTGCACAAGCATACTCAGAGTCCCAAACAATATCATAGTAACAAGACCCACTCGTGTTCCTATGTAGACTAAGAAGAGGCTGTCCAACTCCAACACTACGATCACACCGAAAAGTTATCACTGTAAGCGCGCTCTTACTACAACCTGTACCTCCTGAGTATATCAGCTGGAGTTCTCCCTGCTGACTCAGCTGTAGGTCTCCTGTTACATGTCCCAGATCGAATATATGATTGTCATAGCTCAGACAAGATGCAGATCCATTAGTACATGTTTCGGTACTACCAGCTTCCAATGGTTGACATATCTAATGCATACACTCGTAACTATTGTAGAATATCTAACGGTAGTATGCTAAACATTGCTCACCGAAATTCGTAGAGAAGATAATTGAGGTATATCGCTATACTGGCCAGAAATATAGACAGGGAACCCGGTCCCAGAGAGTTGCTTCAGTCTGGTAAGATCATACAATTGTCCATCATTAGAAGTTATGACACATTCTGTTGTGATGGGAGGACAAGCAAGGATTGTCTTGTATTCAAACTCAAATAGACAGGTGTCATCTGATGGCAGAGAGCTAATGTAAGACACACTCGAGGCTATAAGATGTGAACACACAAAGGTGATTAGAGTTGATTTCTGAAAAACGATAAGAATAATAACAATTGTATTCATGAAGGAAGTGAACATTAATACATAACCTTGCCACTTGAACATGCACTTCCTTCAATGTATCTGAGCTGTATTAGCTCACTATCACTGTACAACAGGTTTGAGTTAGCTTCTCCTAAACTCGAGTTCTTAGCATCAGATACAGTATTTGGGTAAAGAAGAACAGCCCCAGACTTTGGGTTTATAGAAGATTGAAGGAGATCTGAGTCAATAGTAGAGCATATAGATAGGTAGAAGAAAGGAGAGTCAGCGTTTGTATTCTCTATAGAAAGGGTGTAATTGTAACATGATATAAAAATTGGTGAATTGGAAAGGAATATTATCTGCCCTCGTAGCTCAGTCGGTTAGAGCGTGGGTCTAATAAGCCCAAGGTCACAGGTTCGAGCCCTGTCGGGGGCAGTCTTTTTGTCTAGATGAACTGGAAAGACAACTAACAAAGTTTTGAATTAGAATTAAAATATAATATTTGTCTACGTAGCTCAGTTGGTTAGAGCGTCGGTCTAATAAGCCGAATGTCATAGGTTCGATCCCTGTCGTGGGCATTTTTTTTGCGCAATTTTACAGCAAAAGTTAATTAAGTAATTCACGAGCATACGTGGCTAATTTTCTGACTGAATAAGCACCCTTGCGCATATCCTTTCAGGTACGAAACTTCGCGAAACTTTGCTTCAAGTATTCAAGTGCTCACGGCATTTCTATGATGTTTTATTGTATAAAATAACTCACCATCATATTTCACTGGTGTTGTACCTTCTAGAGACAATAAAGAGAATACAAATCCACTAACAGGGTCCTGGAAAGCACATGGAGTAGACACAGGTGTTCCTGTTTCAGTACAGGCTAGCTTTGTGTACCACTCAAATTCGAATATACATCCACTGATATCCACCCCAATCAACCGTGGATAATCAAGTTTAGAAGTTTCACTGCTCTTCGGACACAAAAACGTAATTCCAGTCTGTGGTTTGGTAACGTCACACACCCCAGCAAGATCTAGAGGCTCATCTTCTGTGTATAGAATTCTCAGTCCGTTATGAACATTACCCGCTAGTGGCTTCAAGCCTGTCTTAGGCTTACCAATGCTGGCCTAAGAAAATCATATAATACAATATATAAGAAGTTGATTTCTTATCATATCCAGTACTCACCCATTTCATATCTTCTCCAACTTGTATGCTCATACAAGCAGAACTCAAGGGATGACAGCCTGGGATATTAGTTACAGGTCGACATACATTCAAATAGAACTTAGCACTCGAAAAAGCAGATGTTATACCACTAGTGACTGTGCCATTCCAGTTATCAAACTGTCTGATGAGAGGTGATAAGTCAAATGTGTGTCCGCTTGTATCTGTGTAAGAACAGTCAACAAATAAGTATTCGAAAGGGCAGGCTTTGTCAGTATAGAAAATGAAGAAATAAGAACAATGTGAAACCTCTGGGTCTTCTACCTGTAAAGACCGTATAAACACCATGGATACGTTAGCTATACACAACCTGCCTCTTTAATCCCAGTGGTATTGAGGTCACATGTAAATGATACAAGTGTCATCCTCTTTACACCTCCACTGCATGTGTCTCCCCCCTCATAACTCATTTGAAGACTCCCATTAGCAAAGGTTAGAGTTGAGTTAGGTCCTCCTAATGAGTGAGAAGTAGTGCCCTTGGTCTGACAAGCTCCTGCTGCAGTACACTCACTGCTAACAGAGTCTCCGAGAGCTGAACATATAGACAGTCTGTATGTATAAGAGTTTGACACAAGACTGTATACAGCATCACTGAGTGGTGACAGATTGTAGGTATAGAGGGTAGAAGGATCTCGTACCTACATATAATAATAATAATAATAATATACCATAGAATAAATACACACATATCCGTATTTACCTTACACTCATCTCCATAAGTAACATGATTAGCAGTAGGACATGCTGCTGTATGTTCCCATTGGAATTCATAGAAACATTCCTCAAGCATACCCACATAGACAGGAGAGCTATCCGTTACGCCTATTCTGCAGATGATAACTAGGTTCACTCTAGCTACCTTATCGCTGTGAGTGGGACACACACCATCCGTATACTCCACTACTAGTACATTACCAGTACGAGCAAATACATTGTTAAACTTTCCAATACCATACGCATCTCCAGTCTCTAAATAATAGTATCGTTATATCACAGAAATAAAATGCTATTGAAAATAATAGTATACCTGTTATTTCACATACTCCGTAGCTTACACACTCATGCGGTGCAGAGCTCTGGTCACTTCCTCCCGAATTAAGTGTTCCACACAAGTTGAGGATAAATCTGCTCTTAGCTTCTGTAATGAGATTAGCTCCTATACCAGCTACCCAGTTACTCTCTTCTCCTCGCTTTAAGTATGACAGATCGTATCTTGATTGTCCATACGTGATATCCTGACATGTCCCTGTCTGTGTAGTGCTCGATATACAGGCTAATGGAGTAGGCCATTCAAAGAAATAACTACAATGATCCTCCTCTACGAAACTAGGACCTAGCGAGCTATTCTGAGAGCAAACAAATCGAAATATTGAAGACCTCTGATAATTCGAGCTACAAACATCTCCGCGATGATAAGAGAGAGTTAATTCTCCATCTGCGTAGTACAACTCTCCGTTATCTGATCCTAAACTCTTCGCGAAGTTATCAGCTTTCTTCTGACAAACCTAAAAACTCAAATATTTCAAAATAATTAAGTTATAATTATTCTAAATTTGTAATACAACAAATATGAAAACGTGAATATAGAACACAATATATGACAGTTTTCTAATTAAAGCCAAACCTTTGCAGTCCCTGTACCACAATCCACACCTGTATCAGTACATATAATTATATCATAAGTGTAGTCTGCTCCAGTAATAGAGTATAGGTTTCCTAAAGGGGTTAGATCAAACTTGAAAGGATTATTAGTAGTTCCTTCTATCACACAGCCTTCACTCTTAGTGTATTTCTGAGCACAAGCGTGTTCAGTGTACCAGTCTATGTGGAAATAGCATACAGAGTCTCTTACTACTAATCTGGGGCCTGGAGATACGTCAAACTCGTATGGACAGTGGAAAAATATACTCAGAATAGCATCACCGTTACACTACACATACAGATCATAACATCATGTTATGAGGGCTCGCGTCCGTATAAATCTAACTTACTTGAGATTGGTCAGTAAGAGTAGACGAGTATATAATAGAAATAACTCCTCCTACACTCTGTAATCCATCTGTACTACCTGCTAGAATCAGCTGATGATTACCTGTATCACTCAGTCTACATAATACAGCGCCTTCACACCCAGTTAGAGAAACAGCCCCTGAATCTGGTACTATTTCTTGACAGAGATTAAGAGCGTATTTAGTAGAATCTCCGTTCTGTGTGATAATATAAGCGCCTTTAGTCTTAATGAGAGGAGTAAAATCATACAGATAAGGCTGGAAATAAGCGTAATCATACAGCACTAAGTAGCATTTATTCTCTATCACATCTACAGATTTACACAGAGCATTAGTCTCCCATTCTATCAACATGTGAAATGATTCTATGGTAGAGTCTGTGACTATGGGTATCCCTAAATGTTTACCACAGAAAAGTACTATTGTAGTAGTTCCCTATAAAGAATGTGTGTGTTAGTAACGAAACAATAGAGAGTAAAATACAAATAATGTTACTTGATGATTCTGTAGATGGTAGTCAAATGTAATCTCCATTGTTTTATTATCATTAAAATACTCTACAGACTCAGAGCTATAGCTACCAGCAGGTACTCCCTTTGGGGTAACACTCTCCAATATAATATTCAAATAGCAGACAGACACCCCCTCTCCACATGTTTGATCTTGTAGTGCACTACATATAGACAGGTTTAGATACACATTACTGCTACATCCGATACATGTCTCATAGCCAACTGTTTGCCAGTCTCCGGATAGAGAACTCAAATCTAATCCTCCTAACGTACAGTTAGTGTCAGTAGCGAGTAGTAACGGGGCGAAGAGAGATACGCAACATAGGATACTCACAAGGACATATCTCATTGCTAGCTAGAAATGTATTATATAATAATTTGTATAAATCGGATAATTTAATAGGGAAATATTAGCTAGAATGATCATATCGTATTAGGTAAAGTCAGGGATGATTTATCCACTATCTAATTAGGCACTAATTAGCTATCTAACTATTTGTAGTAGTTAATAACGCAGGTAGAAACTGGAATTGAACATAGCTATTATCCGTAATATACCCTTGTTAATCAATGAACTGCAGGGCCATGGGGTGTGAAAATAAACTGCCCTTTCCCTGTTCCCTACTGTGTCAGAATTATATTATTCGTAGCTCAAAATTTGACAGTTTTAATAGTAAAATACATAAAATAATAAGATTAAATAGACCAGCTCTTATGTTGCTATGGTGAGCGATTCAGGAATGTCCTTAGTTCTATTATAGATTTAGACTTTAGAGGGTAACGAAATCGATGGACAGGCAATTAACGAAATGTCTAGCCTCTGTCAGATATTGAGTTCAGTCAGATATCTAAACTCTTTGCAACTGAGTTTACCGGGGCAATTATTTATGACGGTTTCGTTGTGGACAAGTTCCTCTATGTGTACAGAACTCATAATCTAGATAACTGTCCTCTAACCCAAAGTAGGAATTATCCCTAAATTAAAATCTTAAAATATTTCTTGTACTTAGTATAATTCAAATTTGTCCAAAATTGTGATACATTACTAAAATAATTGCAACTGCGTGTATATAAGGGTAGAATCAGCTTGCTCGAGGGATTGGCAATTGAACTAGAAATAATTAAGGATAGGGTAGGACAAGGTTAGAGTTCTTCCGAGTTTTCTTCTTCTTCTTAGCAGTGTGATTAACATATGAGTTTAGATTGGAATCAGAGAGAACTCCTTGGTCTGTCAGTTGACCTTCAAAATAATCATTCTCATAATTACGAATATATCCATTCTTTAGTTTCTTCCTATCTTCCTGTATAATATATAATAATTTTTGAATTTCACCATTAAGTTGTTTACAAAGAGAGTTCATTTCTTGTCTGAGTTTGGCATTAGATCGTTTAACAGATATGGCAGCTATAATAATGATTATTATAAGAGTAGTTAAGAAACAAAGCAATAATTGTGCCTTAAAGTATTGTATTTCATATGTGAGACTGGTTATTATATCTGTCCAGTATATTTTTGTAATTTCAACTTCTTCAGATTGTATATAACTGTTGAGTAAAGTTAAATTAACCAGATCTTCTAGCTGAGAGAGCTTCCTCTCCAAGCTACGCTGTACTTCTTCTGTACGGTTTACATTTCTCTGAATAGAGTGTCTGAACTGATCAAGATATTTGTGAATGATAGTAACGTTCTCTCCCAGTCGAGCTATTCGCTCCTGCATGCGTACCAAGTAGTTCTGAGATGTAGGAGGTGTGCTGGGTATAGGGGGATCCTTAGGAGTTGAATTTGAAGCAGCATCAGGTAGAGAGTTGTTTTCTACATGTGTAGCATTACTGA